TCGAGGTGCCAACTCTGCTCCACCCATGAGCCAAAGTTGCATTCAGATATATTTTGAGGCAAAGAAGAATAATAACCTGCAATTAAGTTCAGGCTGATCACAGCTTCGATAGGGTGAGCCAAATGGGAGGAACCCAGCTCAGGGCCTAAGGCTGCTGCAGAATTCCTGATGGAGGTTATTTTGTGAATTAGGGATTCCATTTTGTGAGGGTGCCCACAACCCCCTCTTGACATGTAAACTACATTTACTGGCTCAAAACCTTTGTTGTCTGGCTCTGGAGGACTGGATTAGATGATGGGCAGTGAGGTGGCAGAACACACTTCCTTGTGGTCTTCAGTACCTTCGGTAGGTGCTGATTCTAGAAAAATCCCCATCCTCAGAGGAGCTGAGATCTTGCTTCCACACCCTGGTTGTCTAGACTTGGTTATCTAGACCAATGTTTGTCAACCTTGGCAACTTTAAGATGTATGGACTTCAACTCCCAGAATTCCCCAGGCTGGCAATCTTAAAGTTGCCAGGGTTGACAAATACTAGTCTAGACCAGTGCTTCTGTCTGGTGAAGAAACGCCCCAGCCTTTGCAGCAGCTTTTCTCTCATGTATGGACTTCAACTCCCAGAATTCCCCAGGCTGGCAATCTTAAAGTTGCCAGGGTTGACAAATACTAGTTTAGACCAGTGCTTCTGTCTGGTGAAGAAACGCCCCAGCCTTTGCAGCAGCTTTTCTCTCCAGTATTGTAATTATATAAGTTGCTTTTCCATGCAACTTATGTTCCCACTGCATCACACAAATGTTAATTTGTGTTTTCTTCAGAATCCAGTTGCACCCAAAACTTGCTATCAGCCCCTTGTGCTCATTTACATTTAGCCTGTGGTCTTGACATTTACAAGTGTGAGTAAAATCTACAGATTACAGATTACCCCTCTTCTCAAATCTACTTTGTTGGAAAATACGTTTTGTTTTATGTCTCTTTTGTGCAAACTTTCTTTTTCTAGTTGCCAAACTGTGAAAACAGAGTAAAACATCAACTCACTCCTATTAGAAGCTACTTGTAGAAGGTGTTTATCTATGTGATGTGGTTGAATTTCACCAAACTAGGAATCTGAATTTTATATTTGTCTAGCCTTCCTCTCCATCTCAAGAACAGAAAAAGGAAAGTGGTGAGGTCAGTACCTGGGCCTAAACAGAAGCAAAAAACGATCAGCTTTTAATTTGGGAAGTAGGGAAATAAAAGGGAAAAGAAAGCCTTTGAAAGGCTACGTTGTCGCTATCTTGTTTCTACCACAAAAGCTTGCCGTGAATCTTACATTGTGTGCAGGGAGGGCTGCTTTTCTCTTGTAGCAAACAACACGCTCCGTGTTGCTGCAACCTTGCTGCCCTTTTATTAAAATACTTTCCCACAGTAGCATTGATACACGGGCTGGAGAGTTGTACAGACTGACCCCACTTTCTGCTTCTTGCTTTAAAAGTAATTTTGCAAGTTTGTAAGGAAAACATTTCTCTTTTCCAAAGAGACAGCCAAACATGGAAGGACTAACATTTTGGGTCAGGCGACCAGAGGTATGGGCAATGTTATTGTGTGGGTAGATTTGCTATGAGCTTCAAGGTTACGACTGTTTTCTCCCAGGTCTCCTTCCATTGTTGCTCAAATGCTCTTTTCCTTTCTTTTAGTAGGGAGGTATATATTTACCTAACCACAACAAAAGATCTTTTAAAAAGGAAAAAAGGCCAGCCTTCCGTATGGAGCTTGGCTCCATGCTAGGAGCTCAGCGGGACTTATTTCTGAGCAGATGTGCATAAATTGGCAAGTACAAATTTTCAAGACTCAGTTGCCAATAATATTTGGGCTCAATACAGTCATTGTTCCATTGGCTTATGCCCAAGTACTTGACTTTGGACATTGACTGGCCTTACATAACATTGATTGATTGATTGATTGATTGATTGATTGATTATGGGCCATCAAGTCGTTTTCAACTCCCAGCGACCTCATTGATAGATTTTCTCTGTGACAATCTATCCTTAACCTGGTCTTTCAGGTCTTCCAACAGTGCACTCAATTGCCACTGTAACTGAGTCCATCCACTTTGCTGTTGGTTGTCCTCTTCTTCTCTTTCCTTACACCTTTTCCAGATGTTTGTGCCTGTGTGCCTTTGAGTCATTGTTGGCTCCTGGCTACTGCCTGGACTAGTCCCTGCAGTTTTCTTGGCAAGATTTCGGAAGTGGTTTGCCATTGCCTTCTTCCTAGGGCTGAAAGAGAGTGACTGGCCCAAGGTCACTCAGTTGTCTTTATGCCTAAGGTGGGACTAGAACTCACTGTCAAGTTTCTAGCCTGAACCACTATACCAAACTGGCTGTTTTCAGAGATTACATAACATAATACATAGAAATAATTAGATAAAAGAGAAAACATAGTGGAATAAACCATGAATTGAACACAGCCAACAAAGGTGAAGATATGACTGGTATGGTCATTCATTTGGACAGATGGCATGTCAGTGACTGCCTCCAGATGCTGAAAGTCCCAGGTTGGCTTCCTGGTTATCATTACAAGTATTATGTCACTTTAAAACCAGGCTATTATTGGAACTGTGCGAATGTGCTTACAAGACGTTACCTGGTAACTTTGAAGTAAGCTGCTCCCTAGGGCATGTGGCTGTTGATTTGACTTAGCATAATGAGTTTGATGGTCCCCCTCATTTTGGTTCCCATAGTATATGGAAAAAACCCTGCTTGAGAGAAAATATTGGGGATACCCAGTTCTAAGAGTTCTGTTTGCCAAATCTAGGAGTATATAAACTACAGAAAGCTATTACAAATGTTTCTATATAAGTGGAGCTGGCCTTTTGTATTGCCACTGATACAATACACCAGTGTTTGTCAACCTTGGCAACTTTAAGATGTGTGGACTTCAACTCCCAAAATTCTAAGACTTTAAGTCAACACATCTTAAAGTTGCCAAGGTTGACAAACACTGGTGTATTGCATACTGTCTATAGTTACTGGTGTGCCAGTTGAGTTGTGTAGAAGATATTTTAAGTGAGGGGGATGTGCTATGGGTGGGGCAAAGGAGCTTGCTGAGAACAGTTCTCAGAAACTCTGGTTGCTCAGAGATCCAAAGATCTATGGCTCAGAGGGAACATCTGCTATGACCTGATGTGGTTTGGAGGTAGAGCTGGTAAAACAGAGGTGCAGAAGTGATAAAAAGGAGGGGGGAGGCCTGGAAGACAGGCTGGGGAGAGGAGATAAGTCTCTCTCTGCTGGCAGGATCTAAAATGGGAACCCCCTTCACTGACAAGCAGTCTTTGTGATACAAAGAGTGTGCACAGATGATACACTGAACCATGCAATGGCCAAACACATTTTCACTGAATGTATTGAGCAGACACAATGCACACACACCCTACTTAGGGTTAGTTTATGGCACAGAGGCAAGTTCTCCTTCTGGTGCATATAGGCTTTCTCAACAAAGGGTCTCTCTTTACAATAAACTTTCCATTTGCTGTAATGAAACACATGCTTGGTATGTTGTTTCCAGGTTCTAAAGAAGGCTCTTGGTTTTTCCCTGGCATTGGGTGTATGTGCTTCATCAGTTTTTCTGTGATGACCTGTCCTTTGCTGCTGTGCCCAATCTGTGGTTTATTATTATTCTTTTCCTGCTGCAGCTTTTCAGCGAGAAGATCAGTGGAGCAGAAGGGACAAAACTTGATGAAGACTTTCAAGAGATGGAAAAGGTAAGGCAAGTCTGCGATACTGCCTGTTAATTGCAAAGTATTTATTTCTAATTATAACTTGAGCCCTTTTCATCCTTTCCCCTCATGGGCATCCTTTGCTTACTCACACACATGTACATATACCCACATGCACACAACAATCCATAGTGGTACATTTACAACTAATGGGGGAAGACAACATAGGGACCCTATTTTGGCTCATGGGATGAACTGGCTCCAGGCAAGCATACTGGGTCTATAGGTCAGGAGTGGGTGAAACCATAGCCCATTAGATGGTATTTCCTAGGGGTGAGGACCAGGGAGAACTGGTTAGGGAGGAGGCCTTGGGAAAAGGTATGGGTTCCCCAAGAAGTTTTCAGGAGAAATGTGGAATTGCTGTGAGGCTCAATATTCTCTACTTGGTGGGGCATGCAGTTATAAAGTCAGTACTGATCATCTAAAACAATAGTCTGCCATTGGGACTTCTGTTCCTATAGCATAGCATCCTTATTATTTTTCCTAACTAGAGCTTTTTTCCTTGAAAGGTGCATTTGGCTCTGTTCCTGCTTGCTTTTAACCTGGCCACAAAGGATGAAAGTTCAGATGAGTCCATGTTGTCCTAAACTCATTTGAGTCTCTGCTGCAGCTCAATTATTTAGTTGGACAGAGTGACTCTGGGGTCATCTGGCCATGAAATCTAGCAGTCCGGTTCCCCCAGTTGGATTCTTTCCAGATATTTATTGAACTACAATATCCATCAGCTCCAGCTAAAATAGGTCATCGTTAGGAGAGATGGGAGTCACACTCCAAAGTATCTAGAGGGCATCAGGTTGGCACAGGTTTGTGTGCAATGTATGAAAGAAATAGTCCCAGTCATATATTGTTAAAGATTAGTGATGTTTCAAAATTGAATTGTTTTGAATCCAGCACCCTGACCCATGTCCAATAGAGGTTGTTTCAACATCCTTAGAAGCGTTTCAAACTCAAAACACGTCCCAAATGATCAAAACTGCCCATCTCAAATTTGGAAATCAAAATTGGAGGTGTTGAGTAAGAAATGGCTCAGACTGAAACTTTTGCACACCCCTATTAAACACATTTCATCTTCTTGCAGAAAATTGATGTCACTAGCAAGGCAGTGGCAGAACTTTTGTCCAAAGCTACAGAGTATCTCCAACCTAACCCAGGTAAGAACAAAATAATTTCACTGAGTTCCAGAGTTTCAAATTACTGAGCATTTCTGTGTGAACCAAGCCATCAGAGCTGTACCTCACAGCCTTATTTGTTTTCTATGGACGTTTTTATGTTATTGTTGTAGAGGTTTTATTGTCTGTATTTTTATTGTGGACATCTTACTGTTTATATACTTATGTTGGACTGTGGATGCCATTAATACTTGATTGTAAGCCACTGTGAGTCTGAATGAAGTTGATGACAACCTGCTTTGTGGTTACTGCAAGGTAGAACAACATTCCAAGACTGGAGAGATAAAGTCAACAAGCGGAAATGTTCTCCAGACATATAGAAATCCCAGTATATCTTTTAAGCTTTTCAATATTAATCTCTCTCTTCTAAAGCCTACAGAGCTAAGCTGGGAATGCTGAACACTGTATCCAAGATCCGAGGGCAAGTAAAGGCCACTGGATATCCACAGACAGAAGGATTACTTGGGGACTGTATGCTCCGATACGGGAGAGAACTTGGAGAGGAATCCACCTTCGGTGAGCTTCTGCAGCCATGCAATATTGTTCACATAGTTAATGCAAGTGACACTTAATAAATCTGGATTTTTAAGAAAAGGGTGGATCCCTGCGTGAATAGAGGACATTATAGAGAGATAAGATGCAAGAGTAGAGACATGAATGTGACAAAATATGGCTTCCGTCTTTGCCTGCTGGTCCCTAAAACGGATGTACCATTTTCAAGTAAATGATGCTCAGGTGTTTTACTTGAGATGAAGGTAAGAACATTATGTTGGAACAAAACAAAGCCAAAAGAAATAAACAGGTTGATTCTTCTATGAATGGCTGACGGGGAGGAGTTTAGTAGATTTGGTGTGTGACCAGAGAAATGCTCTGGAAAATAAGGATAGCTAGCTTTCCACGTTTCTGAGAAGAGAGGCTGAAAATAAGCCTTCTAAATTTCAGTTTGGAAGCTGCTGGATTTTAAAAAAAAAGATTCCTCCCTGACGTGATACACAAGTGTCGTTTCTTCTTTACAAGGCGCTGCACTGATTGATGTGGGGGAAAGTATGAAGCAGATGGCTGAAGTGAAAGACTCTCTAGATATCACCATCAAGCAGAATTTTATTGACCCTCTACAGCTACTGCAGGAAAAGGATTTAAAAGAGATTGGAGTGAGTTCACCTCTGGCTTGACTATTTGCCTAGGGATGTGAAGTGTGCCCTTGGAAAAATATTAGTGTTTCTCAGATCTCTCTCTTTTGCACTTCATAATGCCCGTTGACTGAATTTGCATAATATCTTAAACCTAGGTTAACAAAACACAATTGCCATGTTCATGTAATGTGTAATGCCCAAATAAGTGATATTTCTTATGGCTTAACATGGCCGTGCCAAGAGAATGGCTGAGGTCCCAGCAACAAATTTTCCAGCACCATTTAACTTATTCCAGTCATGGATCCACCATTACATGGATCTAGTTATGAGACCCCTGTTTCTCTCGAGCAATTGGAGCATCTTCCTTCCTTGATGCTTAAGGAGAATTTAGCCACTGGAAGTTTCCAACCTTCCTCTTCCTCAAATCCTTTGCAAAAAATGTGATTTGTTTTTTCCTCACATCAGAAGCATTTGCTCTGCCTATTTTTCTGTGTTGTGTGAACCCAAAAAGTTAGATGAATTAAACCATGATTCATTGGGTAGTGTTGTGTGTAGCAGATCACCTTGCCTCTGAAGATGCCAGCTACAGTTGCTGGTGAAATGTCAGGAAATTTGTTGTCTAGACCATGGTCACTAAACTCTGAAGCCCAACATTGCCCAACACATACTGACTGTGAAAGGCTACACTAGTAAACCATGATTTAGTTAAACATGGGTAACTACATGGGTAAACATGGGTAAACACACCCAATGATTTAGTGGAGTCTTGAATATTAATGGGCGCACTATAGTCAAGAGAGAGAACATGATAGAAATTTAATGAGAGCCAGAATATAAAAACAAACGATATTGCTTCTGATTTAGATGAGCTGAAGGTTTTTCACATTGAACAAAGTATCCAGCATGTAAGAATTTATTGCAGAGCAACTGTTGGGGCATTCATAGATGCTGTTTTTTTTATTACTATTTTTTAGCCATTCCACATGGCTAAAACACATTTCTGTCCCTGTTCATGAGGGCTTCTTCTTGTTTGCTCTACCACTTGGTTCTCTCCTTTTCCTTTTTTTAAACAGCACCATCTGAAAAAATTAGAAGGCCGGCGTCTAGATTACGATTACAAAAAGAAGCGCCTAGGGAAGATTCCAGATGAAGAAGTGAAGCAAGCCGTTGAGAAGTTTGAAGAGTCCAAAGAGTTGGCAGAACGGAGTATGTTCAACTTTTTAGAAAATGATGTAAGCTCCTCTCCTTGCTATTTGAGGTCTTTGACAGTGCGAGACATATCTACGTGGGTGTTGGTTGTGCATATGATGTGGTGTAACTAGTAATTGTGAAGATGAACAGGTTGCCAGTTCTCTGAGCACTGTCTACTCTTTTCTAAACAAGCAAGGGGATGAAACCTATGAATGGCTGTGGGCCTTCTTAAGTCACTATTCCTGGACTTTGGGTTGCTCTTCTTGGAAGCTGTTGAGAAGGGGTTCTTAAGTGGAATAGCAGGGAATCTACACCTCTCAAACCAGTTATCTGTGTCCCCAGCAGTTTGGTGATGCATTTTCTTGCTATTTTCCAATGTAGAAAATGGGAAAAAATCTAGTATTATCCCTAAAATAATGTTAAGCTCCCCACTCCAAATACCAAGAAATTCTTGTCTTGACCACTTTATTATCACCTCTTTTGCATTAGCTATGTGCAAAACATCTCTTTCTTGGAATGATAGTTTGCATACACCGAAGTTAACTTCTGGGAAGATGCCTGATCAGCTCCAGCCAGTCTGGCATAGTCTAGAGGAAAGACAGAATTCGTTGGAAGGTTCAGTTCTAAGAACAATAGGTTTTCCACGTGCATATTCTGTATCAATCTACTTTCTGCTGTCCTTCCTCTAGCACCAAACGTGGTCCATCCCTGATCTAATGGAATCCTTTTATGAGTATGTGTCAAATTTCACCCAGGCAGAGCATGATTCACCACTCTCCTGTAACTAGCTAACTACAGAGGACTCTGCATAGTACCATAGAGTGGGAAAGGCTCTAAAAGATCCCTTAGAAATTTAGTCCAAACCCTTGCTCAGGGCAGGCTCCAGTAGAGCATCTATGACCAACAACCACCCAGACCCTGTTGTTTGAAGACCTCCAGTGAAAGAACTCACCACAGGAAATTGCCTTCATCTTTCCCCCATCGTTGCTCAGTTTAACAAAAGACTTTGCCTTAGATATTCCTTCAGACAATTAAAAATCAGTTTCATTCTCACCAGTAATGTTCTTGCACTGATTTAATTGCAAGGCAACCAGGGGGTATACATGCTTATCAGATTACAGTCTTTTCCCCAACACTCAGTCTTCTCCTTAGTTTCCCCCGCTTTCATCAATTGCTATTGAAAGTCATGATGGAATTCTTCCTACCAAGCTGTTTTGATAGCAGTGCTAGCATTACCACTGAGAAGCCATCCTGCTCTTGAAAAATTATTGGAGAATTTCTCCTTCCCTTGGACAATCGTCTACCACTTATTCTGCACACTAGAGCATTTTAAATGGTCAAATTGTGCCCAGTTCCACTTATTTAATTTTGCTTTATGAAGTGCTGCCATCTAGTGATAATAGTGACTTAAGAAGTTTGAAACTGGATAGTATAGGAGTTTCAAACCTTTTCATGATAAGATAAAAACCTGCGCTATTCTGCGCTACCTGCTTTACCTACCTAGCTCTGTATTTTCTGTGTCTCATAGCAGTCCTTCTTGTTCTTTCCCAACCTTATTTAGCACTCCCCAGTTTGAACTTGGGAGTTCTAAGCAGGAATAGTAAGAAAGCTGTGGAAAACAATAAGCTAAGAATGGCATTGTGTGTGTGGTTGGTAGAAAAGAAGCAGTGACAGAAAATGGTATTCCAAGAAAAATTTTTAAGGTAGAAACCCCCTGAGAGCCACTTTGTCTAATTCTTTTCTCACTGATGCTGTTCAAAATTGTCCTTGTTCCTTTGCCTCCCCTTCTTTCTCTAGTACATTTCTGCACTAATTAACCCCAATGGATGGGCATCTCTCTATCCCTTTTGAGTCCATGTTTGCTCTAGGCTACTGGGAACATCATGCACAAGTCACCAACATTCTTCTTGGATTCCGTTTTTATAGATAGAGCAAGTGAGCCAGCTGTTAGTCTTAATAGAAGCTGCACTGGATTACCATAAACAGTCTACAGAAATTTTGGAGGATCTGCAGAGCAAGCTACAAAATCGGTAAGCATAATCATGGATTGGTTACTTTTCAAACTGAGAAAGCTCTTAAGAAGTTTTAAGAAGTGTTATCATAGGCCTGGTCACCCAGTATCACTATGTGGCCTCTTCTGGCCCTCAGAAGTTAGGAAGACTTGTGCCTCCCTTAATCTTTAAGATATTGCTCACCCATGTTTTAGGGAAGTGTTTGGCCATACTCATTCTGTGGTGTCTAATAAGCCATGTGTATCGTCATGTCATAATATAAATAACAGTTATGTAATGATATCATGTCATCTGATACAAGTATGTAAACTGTGTCATTTGCCTGATGACATCACAGCACGTGTGTCATTATTGCCCCCTTGCAGATGCCGATGTGCTCATTTGCCTTTGCAGGTTAATCCAACCTGACATTCTGCAGATCTTTGTGATGTCAACTTGGATCAGCTACAGTCAGCTAGCAGTTCGATTCTTTCAGTAATTTTGAAGGTCTCAAGTTGGCCAACTCATCCCTCCATCCCACTGTTCTTCTTCAGTTCAACATTATGACAGGATTCCATATTATGTTAACTCTTCCTTGGTTGAATAAACAACAGTTGACTGAGTTTGCCCAATGCACTAAGCTCTAAAACACTGTTTACAGACCACAGTGACTAGCTTGGGAAAACACACTAAGTGAGAACTAAACAAATCATATTGCAGCTTAAGCCCATGTGTGAGTTTAGCCTATGTGGCTTTTAGATCTCATTGAGGGGTCTTACACTCATGTTCATGATTCTTTGACTAGTTTCTCGAAGGGTTGCAAAGGGGTAGGAGGATTTGTATTTGTATATCTCAGAAGATAGATGATTTCTTCTTTTCATTCTCAGTGGACCCAGTCACATTGACAATGAGCTGTGAAGCTCAAAATTACTGTCTGTGGGTGGGTTGGCATTTCCTGCTAAACCAAAACATGGGGTATTTGGATTAAACTTACTGTATAGTTAAGCCAATTATTGATTATTCCATGAACTGTGGTTAAACAAACCATGAATCAAGGCAATGTATATATATGAAATCATGGGTTTATAAGGACTTTTGGACTGGCGCTGATGGAAGCAGGATTCCCTGATAGAGTGATTTTAAAACATTTAGAGCAGAAATTCTGACTATTGTAAAGGCTTGACCTTTCATTTCCCTCCTGGTATCAGGATAAACGTAGCTTCAAGTCGCCCTAAACGTGAATTTAAGCCAAAACCAATCACACGGACGCGTCTGGAAATAAGCAATGGTCAACAACACAATGGAATTTCCTTCAGTCCATCAATTGAATCATCAGGTACATAATCATGCGATCAAACTTTCTCAATGCTCACAACAGAGATTGATTTTGAAATACTATGAAGAGATATACCCAAATCCTTCGGAGAGATTTCCTTTTGCTACATTCTGGCTTAAGATGTATTAATCATCTCCATTCCTTTTAAAAATGTTTCATATTAGAGATCGCTCCAAGAACAGTGTAAACAAAGGGGAAAGGCAAAGTAGGAGCTGGGATAATAGAAAGTTGAGCTTCTTTCTCTTAGGTGGGCTATCCACTAATCCTTGCCAAACACATATTTAGCAAATAATTACTTGGGCAGTCATCATCTCTCTCTCTCTGCTCAGAGAAATGCGGCTTGTGCTGCTGCTGCTGCAGGAGCAGCAACAACTGGGTGGCCCTTTAGCTTTTTGTTTTTAATTAAAAATGTTTTAGCTTATGAATGGTCTGAGCTGGGCTTATTTAAGGACAGCACACAACTTTTATTGCTGGCTGATTTAAAAAGTATATTTTAATTCAATGATGAGCTCATTCTACCTCAAAATGGGACTGATCCCTTTGAAGGCAACTGCTTAATCCTATAAAGAACTGATAGCAGATTAGACATGGGGACATAGTTTTTCTTTTATATCAGAACTGGGTTGTCTTTAGTAAGTATAATAATTGTTTAAATTCAAAGTGGTGCCCCCCTCATCCATTGTCTGACCATGCATCCTTCATGCACAGATTCAGCAGGCAATTATCTGCAAGGGGATCCCATTCCTTTCTTTGGCATGATGGAATAATTAAGCCAGTGCAAAGATCTGGAGAACTGTAAATTCCTACAAGAGGTGGATTGGTCAGAAAGAAAGAAATCCAGTACAGTACATCATTCAGAGACGCAGTGGATACTAGTGCTCCCAGGAGGGTTTAAGTATTAATTTTGCATAGCCCATTAGATTGTTTATAATATTGGACTTTGTGGCAAATTAATTGAGACAAAATTTGTGGGAAAACAATCTAACCTAATCACTCATTCTGACCAGGTTCTTCATTGCACATGGACCAACCTTGCTGCCAAGCCTTGTATGACTTTGAACCTGAAAATGAAGGGGAGCTTGGCTTTAAGGAAGGAGACATCATCACATTGACCAATCAGATTGACGAGAACTGGTATGAAGGCATGTTAAAAGGTGAATCAGGCTTCTTCCCCATCACCTACGTTGAAGTCATTGTCCCCTTGCCACAGTGAACGCGCCGTGTCCTTTTCATGCTGCTGATGCCACTGAAACAGTGTCTTTGGCCAAAGTGGTGTTTTCATTTGTGTGGCATTCTATGAAAGCCCGTGCTTCTTTTGACCAACTTACTGACTCTTTTGTATGCATCTTTTAAGAAATATATTTATTTTGTATCCGTACAATTTGTATATAAATTATTAAGTCCTTTCTTTCGGTTAAAAGCAAAGAAAATCAGGCAGCCCAACCCTGTGCTTTTGTGCCTTGAAAATCTCGCTGAGGCTTTTCCTAAAAGCGAAGCTATTACTCCCATTATAGCAACAAGAAGCCCTTCATCTAGCGATGAATTTTATTTGTGGGTACAATTTCTCAGCTACTGTGAGTAACGTTAGTCATCATTGAGCCACTACTGTTACATTTAACTTAACTGTGAAAAGCTAATAGTTACTGTGCACTATATTTTGACTAGAGAAGAATGATTGCTTCCTCAGTGTTCTTGTATTGTCAGCGTCACCCTTAAATGCTTAACTCTTCACTGACCAGATAATAAAACACTCTTGTGGGAAATACGTTTCCTCTGCATCTTACAAGGTATAACATTCTTTGGCTTCTAGCTTCATAACATCCACCATACTCAGAGCTAAACTTTGGTACTTGAGTTTTTGGTTGTGAACTACCTTTGTGAAAAATGTCTGGGGTTAAGAAAAATTGTGTGTTCTCCAGCTTCTCCATGGGAGCCTGCTTTAGTAGTTATCAGGTTAGTTGGTACTATAAGTTTGGCTTCCTTCCTATGGTGCAAGAGATACTTTAAAACTGTTTTCTCATACGTTTCTGATCTGTTTTCCACCTTTCCATTTAGGGAAATAAATAATAATCCAACTTCTTGCTCAGGCAAAGTAGCACAGCTATAGAGTTTGCAACTGAGTTCAAATTAATAGGGATTTCCTGTAAATAACCATAGCGTTACTTACACCACCACCAATGGCTCTCTCTACTCAAGTATTTCCCACAGCAGCAAACTGGATTTTTCTAAAGCCCATAAGCAAAGCAACCCATCTCCCCAATTATTGTAGACAGGAGCTTTCATGGGAATTCATTTAACTATTGATATTTTCTTCCTTTTCTCCAAAAACATTTAAGTGTCTAGCTGTTATCAAGTTATTATAGCTAAATTGATGACGTTAGTCAACATTTTATTAAGCAATCTTCCACAAAAGGGGACATGAACTGCAATTTAAAATATTATACAATAAAAATTTGTCAAGACGATGGACCCAGTTTGGGGAACAGTTCACTCTTTTGAAATAACATACAGACAATATAAGACTTAAGCCTGCCAAATATAGAGTTTGTTTAAAACACCATAAAGAGCCATCAGCTGAACAGGAGATACCTTTAATAGAAAGCAAGCATTTACCAAATGTGTGTCTTTAATAAGGCCTACACACAACTAGAAGTACCTAAACAGCAAGTGCCACAACAAACTGTTTAGATCTGCTAAAATATCAGAAGCCACCGGCATCAATAATTTAACCATTTTAAAAAAACTGCTATTGAAGAAATCCAACTGAAAGGAATCCTTCCAGAAAAAATACTGTGTTCAAGAACCCTATCCTAAATTGGAGCTGGTTGCAGTAGAAGCATTCTGTGATGGTTAATTAATACAAGAGTCCTAAATAATTCTGAGTTTCCACTGTTGTTGGAATGGGTTCAGAAGAAGTGCTGCATTTGATGGCCATCTCACTCTCCTTCCTGGGCATTTCTTCAGGCTCATTCTAACAGAATGACAGCATAATAAAAGATGTCCCCGTGTCTCTCTTTCCTATTGCAAACCAGCACTAGCTTTAAGCAACTTCTAGACAAATCACCAGCATGCTATATTATGGCCACTTCTGTTGAAAAAAGAGAAAGCAATTCATACATGGCTACTATATATTATTGGAGCAAGAGGAATTCCTTAATTTGGCGTATTTGCTGGAACATCTCCCAAGCTACCAAGGAAGGCTAGAACTGCAGTTTCAGTACAACTTAGGCTGTTTGTGTGGATACATGGAGGAATACCTTGGTCCGTAGAGGAGCTAAGAGCTCTACCAACTTCTTTGCCAGTGGCCATACTATATGCAAAAAAAGCAACACTGTAAAGCAGGGCCCTGGCATTTGACTGAATAACGTGGTACAATTTACTGCTCTTCTAATTTAACAAGATGAGGCTCTTGCTTGTTCATAGCAGGCTACAAAATTGAAGGTCTCTTAAGGCTCTTAGATGTGACTCCAAGGTAATCATATCATCTGCCCTAATACTGCAGGTACTTCCATATAGTCTTTCACCAGTTGGCTGTTAAGAGCTCACAAGTCATCTTGTCCTTGAAGTCAAGGAGAGTGAAGGAAAGTTATGGCATCAACTCTCAGGGCAAAACCAAACATCTCTGAAGCAACTTTCAATTCTGGGAATTCTGTTTCAAGCTTATCCAGTAAGGCATCTACTTTCGGTTACATTATGGGACAGCTGCGGCTCTCATTCTGCTGCAGGAAGAAATGGACAGTTTAGCTGATGAAGTCTGGCTTGGAGGGTTGCACACATGTGCTCAATTATTTCAGTACACAAGCAGTGCTCAAAAGCCAAGTTTACAACACAGCTGGGCAATACAGGGAGAAAAACTAAGTTTTTGCATCCTTTGGTAAAGTTTGCAAGATTTATAAGAACCACATGGCTGCTTTCTTTTCTTTTTTAGTCTGTCAAGGAGATGAGAAGAACATCACTATAGAATATTAATGTGCTTTTGAAAACTTCTTCACCCCAGTTGTCATCTGAAGAAAATACATCCCCATCAACCAAATAAGAATGCAAGGACATTCTCACTCTCAACGTTTAGGAGTTCAGTTAAACATACCTGGCTATGAATCCCTAGTTTTGTCTCCTCAGCAGCATCTTCCATTTCTCCATCACCCTCTCCTCTTTCCAGATACATGATCATTCCTTCTGCAGTTTCCTGAAAGTAGAAGAGCTATCCCATAGGCACAAGGTAGAAATGTTGAGTAACTTAATTTATTGTTTTTAATTTATTTATTTATGTGCCTTCAAGTCAGTCTTCACTCCTGGCAACTGCCTGGATAAATCCTCACAGTTTTCTTTGCAACATTTTTGTGTACCTCCTAGGCTGAGAGTGAGTGACTGGCCCAAAATCACCCAGCTGGCTTCATGCCTAAATTGGGACTAGAATTCATGGTGTCCTGGTTTCTAGTCTGGTGCCTTTAACCACTACACAAAACTGGCTTTCTGAGTAATAATTAGGTCAAGTCAATTTGGTACTTACATTTCCATCACCGTCAAGGAGAACAATACTGATGTTCTCGCCAACTCCCCATGACTTTTGGGATTCCCAAACCAGGGGGCTAGGACTTGGGCTTAAACCCTCTCTTTCTCCCCAGATCTGAAAAGAAATAATGGTACTTAAGTTAAATCCATTTTTAAACAGTTTATGACTGATGTGAACGCAAATGTGTGTATTTCTTCCGGCATGCTTATAATGAGAAGCAAAATAAAACAATTCAAGTATTTTTTTCCCCAGAAAAAAAGGAAAAGGACTATTAAAATTGACACTCACAGTTACTACTTGACCAGCCTGAAGAATGAATTGAGCAGGAAACTGATACATAGTGTCAGATTCGTTTCTATGCTGCTTTCTAACCATCCATCCACCTAGTAGCTGATCCTGCAACCAAAGCTGCATTTAAGAAACAATTGATCTAAAGCCTCTGGTGAAATACTTTCACTTTTACTTCTCTGGCCAAAGAATCCTAGTGCATGGCTGAGCATTCTGGGATACATTTATTGATAGTGGCCTTGCTTTTATTTTTAGATTTCTATTTTGTCTTTCCTCCAAGAGGCAGTGGCCTCCTCCAGATATTCCCCACGGTAACAGACCTGTTGGTAAATTGAGTTATGAGACAGTGCCAGGTTTAAAATCACCCAGTGAGCTTCTATAGCTGAGGATGGTCTTGAAATTGACTTTCTCCACTCAACTTCTGAATGGTTAAGATGTTCTCTAATCCAACATCTTAACCTTTATATCACACCAACTCTCATCTCTGCCCATATGTATCCTGTTTGCAATAAGTGTACATTCCAAGGAAGCCAAGTTAGAAGGGGACAATTGGCCTGGGAGAAATAGCAAGTAGAGTCTCCCCCTTCTGCATTTTTGTTACTCCATGCCTAAGGATTTCAGGGCCATGTTCCTATCTCAAACTTGTAAACAATAGAACTCATGAGGCAAACAAGTCAATCCACCATTTTCTTCCCAAAGAAATCATCTATTCCCAGAGTAGCTTTGCAGAAGCAAACAGACATCCAGATGTTTGGAAACCTACAGATGAATCGTTTTACCTTATCAGAATTGTTTTTAATTTTGATAAATTTTCCTTCCATATCAATGTCTTCTATGGAGATGCTTCCTGAAGAGGAAGCTCGCTGGGCCACTTTAAAACTCAGGCTGTGGGCTGGTTTCTTGGCCGATGCTCGTTTCCTTTTCCTGCCTTGCAAGAAGAGGCGGTGGCCCTGACTTGTGGTTGCCCACTTTCCACCACTTCTCATCTGTGATTCACCACTTTCTGAGGAGAATTTGGAGAGTTTCAAACTACCAAAAAAACACACAAAAAAATAATCAGTCTTAAAAAAGACAACCTGGGTAATTAATTAATTAATTAATTAAGGTTTGAATCAATGCAAGAACCTAGTTGTTGTCAATAAAAGGAGTAGGTAACTGGCAGTTCTGTGACTCAGTATGGCCTTTGCATGCCCTCCAAGTACCTTCTCCTTTGTACATATAGTTGTTTTGAATCATATGGAATTAGTTAGGCAAAGAACTCTTAAGTCTCTTCTCTGCACAATGTAAACAGACTTTGAAGAACACTCTCTTTCTTCAGCACAACCTTCCTGCTACCCATTTGCCTGCATTTCTGCATTTGAAAATGCTTAGGAATCTTCTAGCTCATGCATAATAAGACTGCTTAAAAGCTGCTTCTGGGAAGAATGAGAAGAATTAGAGCTCTTTGCCCAAGTTCTCTTAAACAGGAGAGTGATGGGTGGAAATGAAGCTGGTTGGCCTTCCCCTCTTGCTTAATTCAAAAAATGCCAACTTCCTGAGGGGAGATTTCCAAGCTTACCGTTTTTCTTCTCCTTCCAGCAACATCTTATAGGCATTGATCTCAAGGTCCAGTGCAAGCTTCACATCCAACAGATGCTCATACTCTTCCAACTGAGATTGCATCTGCTGCTGCATTTCTGCCATCTCCCTATCTTTTTCAGCTACGCATCTTTTGGATAAGTCACGTTCACAATCAACAGCCTTCTGTAGTTCCCTTATCCTGGTCTCCAGCTCTCTTATCCTGGCTTCCAATCCGGTGTTCTTAGATTTTACAGAAATGTTTTAAGATTAGGCACATCAGTTTGAGCAACAGAGCTAAGAACAGACTTATTCTAGCAGAGACCTCTTTTAGAAGACAAAAGAGGCATCTGGTCACTTTTGTGTATGCCTAGTTTTACCTGGTTTTTCAGTTTACCTCTGATAGAAGATTATCAACCTTCAGTTTCGTTTTTATGAGTTCCTCTTGAACAGAATTAGCAAAATCATGCTTCTTTTCAGCATAAAGTTGAACATTTTCTACCTGCAAAAATAGTATTGGTTAATAATGTTAACTAATACTATGCATGTTCACTGGAACACATTGCTATGTACAAACAGGAATAAAACTAACTACTATTTCTGACCTTCAGAATGTGTCTTTACTGTTATAAAGATCCATATATTTGTGAGTAAATATATGATCTTTTCATATTTTCATCCAAATTACTTCACTAGCATAGGCAGAAAAAAAATATCCCAAGGGACATTCTGAATTCAGGAACCTACATTATAGACTCCCCCACCCCAAGACATTTCAACCTGGTGTTTCTCGTTATCTCTGTTCACTGACTTGAGATCCATCTGAATCTTATAAACACCCTTCTTCATAAATTGTAGACTTTACATCTCTAAGTTTGTTTCCCCATACGTCATCTTTCCAACTACCCCAAATCATCACCTTCAATGTTCCATGGCTAAACTACAGATTTAATTTCTAAACTCAACTAACTAACCAGGTTCTGGCTCCTTTAGACTAGTAATGGGGAACCTATGGTCTCTTAGAAGTTGCTGACATTCCAGCACTCTTCACCACTGGATTATGCTGATTAGGGCTGCTTTGAGTTGTAGAGTTATAGACTCCTTGTCACTAGCTTTAAAGTCCTTTATTTTAATCCTCAAAAAAAGTGTGAGAGTGGCCCATGGAAATACATGCTGTGAGTGGACAGCACAGCATTTCTCCTTTCCCTTAATTAGGAGCAGAGACTGCCCATTTAACTCACTTTGGCCTGGAAGTTTCGCTCCATCTGATCTTTGTATTCCTTGATTTGTTGTTCATGCTCTTTTCTGAGCTCCTGGAGAGAATTCATCAGTTTATTTTCAAATTCCTGTTGATGGCCAGATACAATTCCTTGAATCCTACTCTCATAAAATCGCTTCTTGCTCTTGAGTTCCTAAGAGGAGAAAGAAATTTTGTTGCAGAGGAAGGATTTTGCTACCTGAACTCTTAAACAAAAGTTTCAGTCCAACAGACAAATCTGGGTCCCCCACAACCACTGTCAAATAAATTGTAGGCTGACTTTGAATATTCCTAATACAACAACATCATCCAAAATAATGCACAGTAGAATTTCCAGTTCCACAAAGACATTCTTTTCCTCCTTTGTAAAATTTAAGTAATGCCACTTGGTCTCGGTTTTTTAATTGGAATCTTCTCTTAATGCTCTTGCTTCTCATATCTCTGATGGTCAGATTTTAGACTGCAAATTTGGGGGAACAAGAGCTTAGCTCATTTAATAAGGTATGGACTGCTCCCTACATTGATGGCTTACAATAATGCAACATCCTGTATTTGCTTTTTATAGGAACTTTTCAGTTAAGATAAATCTAAATTCAAAATTGCCAAAAGGGCAAAATCAAATAAAGGTAAGATTTTTGAATGTGCAGCAACAAGGCAAAAAGCAAAAACCATTATAATATCTATATTTGTCATTGTTTTTATTATCTTTAAATTATTTTTAAAAAATCATATTAACCAGTCTTATAGGTTCCTACATACAGGTGAAACTCGAAAAATTAGAATATCATGCAAATGTTCATTTATGTCAGTACGGCA